TGGTTATTGTTTTGCTGCGTTTCCATATCACAGCCCAGGTGGATGACATGAGCGTGTTGATATGATTCACCGGGCTTTCACTGCACAGCGTGATGTGTCTTACTTTCATATCACACACTTCAGTCTGACTCAGACTGTGGAGCAGGAATTTTTTTTTTTTACACCCTTCCCACACAGTGTGAAAAAACAGTAACCTTATACAATCACTTACACAACCTGAATTTTCCCTGGGGTCAATAAAGTATCTATCCATCTCTCTCTCTATCTTTCTATCTATCTATCTATCTAAGTGTTGTCTTACCTGTGTCCAGTACACCCATAGACATCCCAATGCTGGACATGAGCAAAGTGAGGACCAAGGCCTGCGTACAGAACGGGATAGCACACATTCCAAAGGCTGTGACCAGCATCGATAAACCTGGAAAGACAGATCATCAGAAGAAGGTCAGAAGAAGTGTAATGGGCCCGACATCTATCAGCCTTGTGGAAGTGCAGCCTAAAGACATGTGTCACAGTGACTATGTTTACATTTACTGCTTGGTGACTCTAGATAACCTGGATGTAAACAAGATGGACAAGTCAAAAGGTAGTTGGAGCTTTTTTTAAATTAGAAAGAAAACATCCAAAATGGCAAACAGTAAGCATAGAGCACTTTTTCAGACTGAGGTTTTAAAACTGGAATCACGTTGGACGTTGAGGCGTGGTGGACAGAATGATGCGAGTAACATTGGGCTATACTCTGCAACATGTAAACAGGAATGAACGGAATATTCTATTTGTCTCATTCTGAATAGAGTCAACTTCCATGGACACCAATATTCTGTCTATTAGATCCCCAAGCATATTCATCACCATGATGGAAGACTGACAGCAAAGGATAATGCTGCTCACAGTGGGAACTGTTAGAGTCTTACTGTGTAAAGTAGCTTGTGATGACGTATGTTGTGATTTGGCTCTATACAAGTACAATTGAATTGAAATGAATCAATGCCTCATCCGACTGCAGCCTGAAAATCACGTGAGCTGCTTTCAGACATGCTCTGAACTCCTGCCGATCCTCTGGACTTTCTCCGCAGGGGCTGTGTGAGTGAATGCAAATGTCCGAGCCTCCAGGGTTCTGCAGACTTTCTCTGCCTGACCCCCTAGTAACTACGGAGGAGGCGATGTGAGAACACAGCAAAAGGTGGAGGGGTCGATGACTCGTCTAGCACGCGACAGACAATATTAAAAAAAGATGACAAATATCCCACGATGAAAAAGAGCAGCCACACGGCTCCAGCTATGAAGTCAAGGTCCTCCTCCAACAGGCAGCTGTGTGCAGGCTTGCCTTCGAGAGTGGCTCTGGGTCCGCAGCTCAGAATAGCAACACCTCTTTCACCGGCATCCATTTGCAGCTACAGCCCAGTGTCTACGAAACCACGTACAATAAACACGTCTGAAGGAGGGCTCACCGAGCAGGAGGTGGGGGCTCATGCATTCGAAGAGAAGGCCCCCTAAGAGGGATCCTCCTATGTATCCCACAGAGCGACCCACGAAGATGTAGGACATGTTGCTGATGTTCTTCTTCACATTCACAGCCAGGTCTTCAAACGTGGGGCCAAGGACAGAGATACCCATCCCCTAGAAAAACAAGAAAATGGTTACAACAAGGTGAACTCCTCCAGGGGAGGTCATGTGACTGCTTCCTCACATTTGAAATCTCATGTATGTGAGAGGTTCGGTGATTCTACACGCAGCACTCGCTCCTGTTAATGAGCACATGTATGAACTACCATCGCTGTTTCAACTCATATGTGACAGCAGTAACCATGGTAACATGCACAATGAGAATCGACTTAACTGCCCCTTAGAAGACAAACTGAGTATTCATGTTGATCCTGGCATCTCTGTCCTTTCATGGATGAGTTCTGTGATCACTGTGGGTCTAAAGGACACTCCCGTACTTTCACTTTCCGTATGTTATACTGCTGACATGAGTATTCATGTGAATGTAAAGTAAGTCAAGTAAATATCATGTACACACTCTTTGCCGTCTTGTGCTTAAAAAAAAGTGCTTGTGTGTGGATTTCTGTTCTTTAACAACCACTGTGCTGCAGTGAACCTTCAGTGGGAGCAGCTGCCTGTGTTCAATAAAGAAGTGAACCAGGCCTGCGTGCACCACATGATCTCTCCTCTGCGACTGAAGAAATTTGAATAACGTGCTGCAGACACTTGGGTGTATGCAGACGAATCCCAGTAATCTGATAATAAGTAAATGGGCTGAAAAGCAACTATGTAAATCCTGTGTGTGGAGTACTACAGCTGATAACGTGACAGCTGGTCAGTACTGGCCCTGAGCTAATGAATATAGGTGTGTTTTATTACTATGCCTTTGATATGACATGAAACACGAGTCAGAACGCTGCTCGTAAAAGAGAAAGAGGCAGATCAAGAAGAACTTATCTGTGCTTATCTGAGTTCAAATAAAATCAAACTGTGTACTTTACAATTTACAATTACATTTGGCTTTACAGGCTGGTACTGGAAGACAGGTGTCATGACTCTGGACTTCGACTCTTAAATGAAGAGTATTTGTAGATTTCGTCTTATTCTCTAGCTGCCTCCTGATTAAGGAGAGTTTGAGTTTTTGATAAGAGATTCCTTGTTTATTTTGCCTTTTCCTGTGTTTATGTATGTGTTTGGATTTATTTCACCAGTTCCTCATGTGTCTCAGTGCGTCCCTTTGTCAGTTTGTTGTCGTCTTACACGGTCGTCTCACCTCCCTCATCCTTCTCCGGTGACTTTTCTAGCGTCCCCTGGTGTCTCCCGTGCTTTTGCTGTGAGCACTTTTTGAGTTTGATTGGATTTTTGGATTTTGTTTGTTCTCCGTAAAGAACATTGTCTGAATTAAACCTTTTTTTGTTCTGCATTCTTGGGTCCTCCTGCTTGAACTGAACGTGACAGACAGGCATCTTAACACTGATACAATAATGGATTCAGCGGAGAAGCCATCAGGAAGGATGTGCGTCCTTCATTTTAAATACTTTGTTAAAGTAGACACAGACTGCTCTGGATAATCTAGAGACTGGGAGAGAGTTTGGAGAAATCATTGATGGTCAGAAAACCTACATCATAAAATAACAAACCTGGACTAATATATCAAACTTAATTGAAGACGATGAATATAGCTACTGCTCCAAACTGGACCTGTCCAGCAGTTTGTTTTTGGGAACAAATAAACATCTGTCTTGGTTCAGGAGACTGACTGCTCTCCAGAATGTTTGCTCTTGAAGGTCGACTGTGGGCAGAATTTGAACCATACTCACAGACAGGAACTTTCAGTTCTACACTGCTGCTAAAGAGATGCTGGTGGGTCTGTGGCAGCCACCATGTGATTCTAAATGTGTCTCCTAATTTACTTCATTGTGTACTGACATTGTCCTGCACAGATAATCGAATTTAGAGCCATGGGGAGGGGGAAGGTTGAGAAGTAAGCAAGCAGGGGTGGATCCATGGGCAGGACCAGGGGGGGCTATGCCCCCCTGCTGAGATCTGACTGGCCCCTGTCCTGAAGTCTAAACTTATTATAAAATCATGGACATTTGTTGAGAAGTTCCATTTTCGAAGTTCTTTTAAACGACATATGTGTTTGAACAAGGAACAATTTTCCTTTCTGTTGAATGATGTGTGGCTTTGCTCGAAGTTATCGAACTAAGAGTAAACAAGGAATGACGTGAACGTTCAGGTGAACCAGGAACAGGACGTGGATGTTGACATGTGGTGAATAACTGATCCCTCTGTGTATATTGTGGCTCCTTTTTAGAAAGATCCTCGATCAGAGTTATTTTACTGAAACCATGATTCCCCTCATCATTACAGACTAAATGTAGTGAATGCATTAAGAGACATATACCTGTCTATTCATTCCCTCATGTGATCCTGAACATTATCAGAGGCATGTAGGATACTAGCTTGTTATTCTGAACCGGAAGTGTTGCAGATTTGAAAAAAGCTTCATTCATGTATGTACCAGGCCCAGGAAGGACGCGGACAGAACCAGGGTGACCATCCAGCGGCCGCACGCTCCGGTCCCGCCCCTCCCTCCGCCGACCACCTGCACCCGGTCGTCGCATCCCGGGTTCGTCGCCCTCTTGGCCGCCTTCAGCGCGCTCTTCAGTCCGCGCCCGGACCCGCCGTCTTTCCTCTTGTCGAACAGGGTGTCCTCCTCCTGCTCGTTGTCCTCCTCCTCCTCCTCCTCCTCCAGGCTGGCGAACCGAACGTGCTTCTTCTTCCCCGCGGATGAGGACATACCTGTCGGCGTGTTACTCCGCTGCTGCTGGAAACGTCGCGGCCGAGGTGAGGGACGTGTCTGCCGGCGTGGTTCCTCCCGTTAGAGGCTCTCCTGCAGTCGAAGCGTTGCAGAGTCGGTGATCATGTCTGTTGTCTGTGAGTCAGTGAACAGCAGCAGCGTCTTTATTTACAGTCTGTGGTCCTGAGCCTTCATCTGTCACAGACACTGTCAGTATGGCTGCCGGAGCCAGAGATCGTCTATTCACAGGGAGCTGCACTCGGTGCGGTGTAGTACCGGTGAAGAAGAGTGAGACAGAGCAGCGTGGACTCCTCTCTGGAGTTCAGAATCTATCCCAGGGTTCACCGCTCTCATTCTCTTATCTGTGGAGTCTCCTGACGTCACTGTGTCTTTGCACCAGCTGCTCATCGGTGATATAGAAGGTACAAGTACTGCAGAAGGTACAAGTACTGCAGAAGGTACAAGCAGGCCCGCCGACAGGGGGGGACAAACGGGTACGTTGTCCCGGGCCCTGGACTGGCCCTGGAATGGGGGGGGCCCATAACTGGACCCCCATGAAGTTGGGATTAATTATTGTATGTATACTTC